ATTTTATCCATATAATCATGAATGAATGAAGTTATAATTTATAGTTAAATGTTTATTGTTTTTATTTTCCTAAATTTTATACTTCTATCTTACAAAAACATCTTCTTCTTTTTTTCTTTTTTTCTTTTTTTCTTTTTAACTGTTTCAAAATAATTATTTAAATTCAAAATTCAATGTAATTTGTTTTAATATTCTTAATTTACTTTTCTTGCCTTGAAGTTATAAAAATATATATTTTATATTGTATTGAATCACATTCTTCTATAAATAACAATTAATAATAATTACAAAATCATCTTATTCTATAAATTTTTTAAATTTCAGGATAATTTCTAAAAGTATCTGTTTGAATGTGCAGTACCGCCCATTAACACACTTTAGGAGAAGTTTTCATACTAACGGAATCCGGATGGCGATCAGGGCAAGAACTTCAAGTTTAAAGTAGGCGTTGCCCTAACGGTTTTTGATTTCATTTGTATGGACGAGGCCTCACAAGGTGATAACTAAAGTTCGGGCCCATTTAGGCTGCCCAACAACAAGTTCTGTCCCATTTACATACTTGCACATACATAAAACTTGACATAAATTTCTCAAAAGGGAAAAAAAAAAATGACATCATAATAAGAAAGTCTAATACCATGATAAGGGTCATTTCCGGGTGAATTCAGTTTACCTAATTAATTAATTAAAAAAATATTAAATAATTCATTTGTGTAATGAATATGTGTGTGTATATATATGTAGAGTAATATTTATATGTAAAGTTTGAGAGAGAGAGAGAGAGAAAGAGAATAAAAAGTTTTTCATTCAAGTCACCTTCAAGCAGTAAATACAAATAGCCTTTTATAGGCTCAAAAGTAAGGCTTCCCAAACAAGCCAATAATGCAATCTTCCTCCATACACCACTACAGGAATATCTTCATTGATGACTTTGTCAATTCGTGGACCCTACACAAGTATATATATATAATATTCTCCCTTGGGGTCCACAAAACTACACTAAGAATATGCCTTGTTAAAACCTTACTAAGAAAAACTCAGTGGGACAAAACCCTAATGAAGGAAAAAGAGTATAGTATTCTTGTGTATGATATTGCATAGATTAAAACTGCCTCATTACAACCTTACCAGGAAACCCAGTGGGATAACGAAGGAAAAAGAGTACAGTATGATAATACCTCTTTGATCAATTGTTTCCCCTCATTAGTTCAACCCTGAAGATCCTTTAGTTGACGCATTCCAATGTTGTCCACTAACTTCTTGAATGTTGTAGTTGAAAGTGCTTTAGTGAATAAATCTACTAGATTATCACTCGAGCGTATCTGCCGAACATCAATATCACGGCTCTTCTAGAGCTCGAGTATGGAAAAGAATTTTGGTGAAATGTGTTTGGTTCTGTCACTTTTTATGTATCCTCCTCATACTTGTGCAATACATGCCGTATTATCTTCATATAATATTGTTGGACTATTTTTGATTGAGGAGAGTGCACATGATTCTTGAATATGTTATATAACAGATCTTAACCAAGCACACTTTCTACCTGTTTCATTAATTGCGAGTATCTCAGAGTGATTTGAGGAAGTTGCAGTCATGGTTTGTTTCATAGATCGCCATGACATAGTAGTATCACCACAAGTAAACAAGTACCCTGTTTGTGATCGAGCTGTATGTGGGTTAGAAAGATAACCTGCATCTACATATCCGATCAACTGGGGTTTTAATTTTTTTGAATAAAATAACCCCATATCAGTCGTTCCCCGAAGGTAACACATAATGTGTTTGACCCTATTCCAATGTCTTCGAGTTGGTGCAGAACTATACTGTGCTAGTAAGTTGACTATAAATGCTATATCAGGTCTAGTATAATTCGCAAGGTACATTAGAGCACCGATTGCACTAAGATATGGTACTTCAGGATCAAGAACTTCTTCGTCTTCTTCCAGAGGACGAAAATGATCTTTTTTAACATCAAGTGATCGGACAATCATTGAAGAATTCAAGGGGTGAGCTTTATCCATATAAAAACGTTTCAGGGCTTTTTTTAGTGTATGTTAACTGATAGATAAGAATTCCACTTGGTAAATGTTCGATCTGCAGGCCGAGACAAAATTTTGTTCTACCAAGATCTTTCATTTTGAATTCTTTCTTTAAATAATTAGCAGTCGTGGTGAGCTCTTCAGGAGTTCCCACAAGATTTAGATCATCAACATATACAGCTATAATGGCAAATCCAGATTTTGATTTCTTGATGAAAATGCATGGACAAACTTGATTATTCACATATCCTTCTTTTAGTAAATACTCGCTGAGCTGATTGTACCACATGCGTCCGAATTGTTTCAATCTATACAAGGATCGTTGTAGCTTGATTAAATACATGGTACGTGGTTTCAAGCTATTTGCTTCAGGTATTTTAAATCCTTCAGAGATTTTCATATATATATATATATCACTATCTAGTGATCCATATAAATAAGCTGTAACCACGTCCATCAGACGCATATCCAATGCTTCACTGTCAAACTGATCAAGAAGCGAAATGTGATTGCATCCATCACAGGAGAGTATGTCTCCTCATAATCAATACCAGGTCTCTGAGAAAAACCTTGGGCTACAAGTCGGGCTTTGTATCTTATAATTTCATTTTTCTCATTATATTTCCTTACAAATACCCATTTGTACCCTACAAGCATGACATCTTCAGGTGTTTAGACTACAGGTCCAAATACTTCACGTTTTGCTAATGAGTTTAGCTTTGCCTGTATTGCTTCTTTCCATTTTGGCCAATCATTTCTACATCGACACTCTTTGACGTTTTGAGGTTTAGGATCCTCATTATCACCTGCAATATCAAGAATAACTGCAAAGGAGAATATATCGTTAATAATAACTGTATTTTTATCCCACAATTCTCTATAGTTTATTGAGATCTCATTATTTTCAGGTACCAGTGCCTCTTCAGGGGCTTGTGCCACTTCTAGGGCATGTGCCACTTCTAGGGCATGCATATCTTTTGGGGCATGCATATCTTTTAGGGCTACTTGCTTATAAAATTTAGATTGATCAATCATTTTCGTTGTTCCTTTTGCAAGTATGACCTCAGGAACGCCAATTTCTTTATTTGATTTCTCTTGTGCTTTCCTCTTCCGGGGTACAGTGTCTTTTGCACTGACTGGTCTACCACGTTTCTGGCGTGTCTTAGATGCATTTGCAATAACACTGACAGACTCTCTTATAGGGACATCAATTCTTGCTGGAATATTTGTAGCTGGTATATGTGATTTCATCACTTTCTTTGTGTTAGTGAATGCATCGGGTAATTGATTTACAATACTTTGTAAACGAATGATCCTTTGAACTTCTAGTTCACATTGATTTGTACGAGGGTCGAAATGAGATAAAATCGAGACATTCTAATTAATAACTCGTTGCTCTTCTGGTTATTTCTTTTCCCCCCTAATAGAGGGAAAACAACCTCATCGAAATGACAGTTAGCAAATCGCGCTTTAAAAACATCACCTGTCATAGGTTTAAGATATCTAATAATAGATGGAGAATCAAAACCTACATAAACACCAAGTCGTCATTGAGGACCCATTTTGGTGCGTTATGGGGATGCAATGGGAATATATACAGCACAACCGAAAACTCGTAAGTGAGAGATACTTAGTTATTGACCAATCACAAGTTGTAGTGATGAAAAACTATGATATGCAGTTGGTCTAATGCGAACTAGTGATGTTGCATGTAATATCGCATGTCCCCAAGCAGAAACAGGTGTTTAGTTCTCATGAGTAATGGTCTTGCTATTAACTGAAGACATTTGATAAAAGATTCTGCAAGACTATTTTGGGTGTGAGTATGTGTAACAAGATGTTCAATAAGAATGCCAATTGATATGCAATAGTCATCAAATGATTGAGATGTGAATTCCTCGGCATTATCAAGACAGATAATCTAGATTGGATAATCCGGAAATTGTGCTCGTAATCGAATTATTTGAGTAAGGAGTCGAGCAAATGCAACATTACGAGTAGAAAGTAAACTTACGTGTGACCACCGTATTGATACATCAATTAAGACCATAAAATACTGAAATGGCCCTCACGTTAGATGAATTGGTCCACATATATCCCCATGAATTTGTTGTAAAAATGGTGGGCATTCAACAACGACCTTGGAAGGTGATGGTCTGACTATTAATTTACCCTGTGAATAAGCGGTACAAGGATAATCATTTGCTAAAAGAATCTTCTGGTTCTTTAGTGGATGACCATATGAATTTTCAATGATTCAGCGTATCATTGTTGACCTAGGATGACCAAGGCGATCATGCCAAAGTATAAAAATATTTGGGTTAGAGCACTTCTGGTGCGTCACTGCATATGACTCAATTACTCTTATATTTGTATAATATAATCTAGAAGATAAAGTAGGGAGTTTTTCTAAGACATGTTTCTGGCATGTAATATAGAGATATTCAATGCCCCCTTCATTTATAGTCTCAATATGATAACCGTTGAGACGTATATCTTTAAAACTTAATAAATTTCTTTTGGATTTGGTAGAGTATAGAGCATCATCAATATTCAATTCTGTTCCACATGGTAACACAATGATAGCTCTTCCGAAGCCTTCAATTAGATCTGCTGGACCTGATATTGTATTGACACGAGCTTCAACTAATGTTATATGCGAAAAATATTTTTTATCTCGGAGTATAGTGTGCATTGTTGCACTGTCTGCCAGACATATATCTTCACCATTTATCTTGGGTACAGTCAATGCCTTAGTCAGATCCATTCTTCTTCATACACACAAAATATATATTTCATTACTTCAAACTTGAAATACAAACTAGATTTACATATAAGATAGCCAAAATAAAAATACACTGGTACAACCTAGATAAAGACATATTGATACAATAAAAATTTAAACATACTGATACAGATAAGATAAAACACACAAGGGATAACATGCTAGAGAAGGACACATTAATTGGTATCGACATTTCCATCACCAATCAAATGATCAATACTACCACTAGTATCAGCAAAGAAGTCAGAAATATCAAGGTGAGTAGTATCAACTGGTAAGTCATCATCCACAAAATTCATTTCAATTTTCTTTCCTTTTCCCTTATCATTCATTGAGGCATGATAAAGATCAACTAGATGTTTGGGCGTATGACAGGTACACGAACAATGACCTTTCATTCCACATCTATAGCAAGGCTTGTCATCATATATCTCAGGAGCTTTGTTTTGCAAAGCTTTTCCCTTTGCCTGCTTGGTCGCATTTGAATTCCACTTTTGGTGGGACGGTGTAGAGTTCCTTCGTAGAGTCAATGAGGAATTATGACCACTACGATTATTATAATTATTTCTATTGCGACTATATCCACGACCAACACTACGTCCATGTCCATGTCCATGTCCACGCCCATGGCCGTGAAATAAGAACACATTCGTTTCTGGGAATGGTACAAATCCAGTTGGATGGGACTGATGGTTTTTCATCAAAAGCTCATTATTCTGTTCAACCACTAACAAACAAGAAATCAGCTCAGAATATTTAGTAAATTTGTGCTCTCTATATTGCTGCTGCAAGAGCACATTTGAGGCATGAAATGTGGAGTATATTTTTTCTAACATATCATCATCAGTAATTTTTTCTCTACATAATTTTAATTGTGAGCTGATTTTAAACAAGGCTGAATTGTACTCACTTACACTTTTAAAATCCTGCAATCGCAGGTGGATCCAGTCATAGCGAGCTTTTGGAAGGATCACAGTTTTCTGATACTCATATCATTCCTTCAAATTTTTCCACAGTGTTAATGGATCCTTAACCATGAGATACTCTGTTTTTAATTCCTCATGGAGGTGATGGCGAAGAAAGTCATAGTTTTCGTGCGGTCTTGCAGGGACGCATTATTTTCTTCCTTAATTGTCTCTCCGAGATTCATGGCATCCAAGTGGATCTCAGCGTCAAGGATCCATGACAAGTAGTTTTTGCCCGAGATATCAAATGCCACAAATTCAAGCTTGGTAAGATTTGACATTATGAACTATAAATGATAAAAAAAACATAGTTAGAATTATTTCACAAACAAAATAATCAATTTGAGATTATAAAAATACTGCAGTCACTATAATATGATTTACATAGTGGTGATACCATATAATATGAATTGTCAGTAAATATACTATACAATGTCAAAAAGTTAATTATGTGTTTTCACAAAACAAAACAATAGCAATAAGACAAAATATGTTTACACTAAAAGGCACATATAATTTATATTTCTACGTTTTGCAAAACTTCAGGTTTGTAAGGGTGCTCAGTGTAAATGACTTCAGGTCAAAGAATTTCAGATTCATTTGGACTTCAGGCCAACAAATTTTGCGAAACTTCGGGTTCGCAAAGAGTACCAAATATTTGTGAAACTTCAGGCTCACAAACAGTATATTAATATATGCAAAATTTTGAGTTTGCCAATTAAATAATTTAGTATTTGCGAGACTTCGGGCTCAGCAATTTACTTTTCTATAAAGAATGGACAAAAATATTCTAATATAAATAAATAAATAAGTATTTGCGAGACTGCAGGCTCAACAATTTTAATTATATGTGAGACTTGAACAATAACAGTTTAATATATATAATTATTTTTCTTACCCTTTGAAGTAAGAAAGAAAAATAGAATTTTCTTCTCATTTGACAGAGTCTCATGCTGATAATGTGTAATGATTATGTGTGTGTGTATATATATAGAGTAATATTTATCAGAGAAAGTTTCATACACACACACAGCGAAAGAGAGAGAGAGAGAAAGAATAAAAAGTTTTTCATTCAAGTCACCTTCAAGCAGTAGATACAAATGGCCTTTTATAGGCTCAAAAGTAAGGCTTCCCAAACAAGCCAATAATGTAATCTTCCTCCATACGCCACTACAGGAATATCTTCATTGATGACTTTGTCAATTCGTAGACCCCACACAAGTATATATATATAATTATTTGACTTTTCACATATTTTAATAGATTGTCTCAATTTAACAATTAAATAATGAGAGTTTATGCCTCTTGTTATGAGAGGCTTTCACAATAACATTATAAAATAAGAAAGTTGTCTTTGTATGGAGGTACGGTTATTGTGCCTAACCCTCTCCAAAACCTGACACCTTTATTTTGATTTTTTAACATTTTCCCCAAAGCATTTGAGAGAATTGATATTTTAATATTTATTCAAGAACATTTGAGAGGAAAAAAAAACTCTTATTCTCTAATATGCATTTAAGTAAACAATGATGCAAAATAAAACATAAAAAAGATCAAACACACACAACAAGTACACACATATTTTACTTGATTCGTTTAAAAATTAGGACTACTTCCAAAAATTATAAGAAATTCATTATAATGATCAAAACAACAGTGGATACAAAAAATTTAGAATAATAAATATCGCATTATAACAACATAACAAGTGCTGAAATTACCCAAATACTCCAAAAAAAACTCAAGCACAATATTTATCAACTCTACAGTACTACCCATAAAACAAGAGAGGGTGAAGATCACTCTACACAAGATACAACTTAGATCCACCTAAGGGACCGGACTGTATCTAATGTTAGGTGATAATTATAACCAAAAAAAACAATAACAATCTCACATGTGCAAACAAAGTCCCAACATTATGAACTTTATTTTTAATTTCCCGAAAGGTACGTGTTACTAATAAAGTCATATTATATAAGAAGGTGGTTCTATAAATATTAAAGGAAATAAGACATACTATAGTAAAGAAAAGGACCCCTCCTTTGACTATCCCTGCCAAAGCATATGCCAAGTTGTTAATTTGCCCTTGGACATGCCCAGTATGTGCATATACCAAGTTGTGGATGTATATGTTTATGGGGGTTTTTAAAGGCAAATCAATATTATTATTAAATAAGAAGGATGATATCTGAGTATAAAAAAACAATAATGCATCAACAAAAAGAATCGGTCCTTGGGCTTGGGCTCCTCGGCCCCTATTTATAGCCTAGCATCTTACACGAGCAGGGAAGTCCCTTGAGACTTCTCTTAGGATAGCCATGATGGCTCTACTAGATATAATAGGAGTATTTCAGTCCTTTTATATTGAGGATAGGTACTATTACATTAAATACTCATCTTTTCGAAGGCGGCAGTAGTTGAGATCCATTAATGTGATTAGTAGTCTCCTACTTGAGGTGTGTGGGTTCCTTGCCATTTAGTTTGCCAAAATACCTAGTGCTCTTAGCAAACACCTGACTCGAGTCAGGGTTGGTGACATGAGGTGTGCCACGTGACTTCGTGAACTTAATCCGTTACACTGTTATTCGGTGAACAATAGATATTACCATCATGGTTCGCCGTATCGTTCGATATGCAACCCTTTTTCAAATTCGATATGCGACTCGTATTGGCCAGTTTATACTGACTTTGTAAAAATCCGTTATACTGTGACCGATATTACGAACTATAATTCCCATATAGATAAGTCTGTGTGTCTATATAATATATACAAAGAAACAACTATTGACATGCTGCATGTGGTGGACCGGTGGTTGGTGTACCCTTCTAACCTTGTCATGTCCTTTGTACACAAGAATGAATTCACTCCTCCATTAATTGGGAAAGCAATTTATTATAATGAATTACAATTCAAGCACTGTTGATGGGGGGCTTCAGCCTTCAAGTAACAAACCAGTCCCATAGACAACACACCTCAATTTAACTCAATAATTAAAGTTACATTTATTTGTACTCTTATGAGACTTATGTCACGCCCATATGTCATTCTATCTTGAATTCCAATTTAAGAGCTTAGAAAAGATCATATATATATCAATTGTCCTATTCCAGAAATTCACATTGCGAAAATTGTAGCTTGTTGATTTACTTTGAAAATATCATATATATCAATTGGCTTCATGTTGTATCTCAACTAACTTACCCAAAATTAAAATGAATTTCAACCATTTGATTTTCTTGAAACACATGATTGGATGGACCAAAGATCAAAAGAAAATCAAACCCCAATAATTTTAGTCCTAGATATACTAATTCATAAGGATTTACCCATATTAAAAACCCATTCCAAAACCATATTCAGGCCCATGGGCCATCAACAAAGCCCAACATGGGCCATTACATTATCAACTTGTCCTCCAAGGTGCGTGATCAGCGAGCTTTTTTAATTAATGCCAGCTGGCCCAGCTCCATGCGTGATCAGCAAGTCGTAGTTGAGGATTCTTGCCTATAAATATTAAATAGCCATGTATCTCTTTCATTCCAGATCATCCAAGATTAAGTGTGTTAGCTCAATATATTTGGCACCACAAAGGAGAAATTGTGAGCCATATAGAGAGAGAAAGTGTTAGAGAGATAGCAATGGCATTAGCTGATAAACCTCATGCAGTTTGCATACCATTCCCATACCAAAGCCACATAAAAGAAACTCTAAAACTAGCAAAGGTGCTTCACCACAAGGGTTTTCACATAACCTTTGTCAACACAGAGTTCAACCACAGACGCTTCCTCAAATCCAGAGGACCAAACTCTCTCGATAGATTGCCTGACTTTCGATTCGAGACCATCCCGGATGGCCTCCCTGCTTCAGATTCTGACTCATCCTAAGACCCACCTACTATTGGTAAGTCCATTAGAGAGAGCTTTTTGGCTCCGTTTCGCGACCTCCTTGTCAAACTCAATGACACTGCATCTTCAAATGTCCCTCCTGTGACTTCCATTGTGTCTGATGGCTTCATGACTTTCACTATCACTGCTGCTGATGAATTTGGCTTCCTGTTGTACTTTTGTGGGCACTTGCTGCTTGTGGTTTCATGGGCTTCTATCAGTTCCGCCCTCTTGTGGAGAGAGGTCTTGCACCATTAAAAGCAGGGGCGGAGCCAGGATTGCAAAGTAGGGAGGGCTAAAAATAACTAAACCCATGATTGTTTAGTGTGTCATTCATACTCTAAATATAGAATTCGTATGCATCAGTCACTCAATTAAACCCAATAATTTACAACCTTCTAACACATTTACACTTCCAAACTCTAAAGTTTTTTCACAGTCAAGAATCCACTGAAGTTTGCTTCATATAAGTATTAAACCAAACACCTACAAGAACGCAAGATATATATGTTCCTTATCAATAAATTCACATTAGAAAGTAAGACCTACGTGCTCCGCCCCTGATTAGTTATTAATCTATTATATAGTAAATTACTCAATTTAACAAGAAATTATCAAGTCATCAACAAAGCCCTTTTTTTTTTTTTTTTTTTTTTCAAAAATAAAATTCAATATTTCACTGGATTAACAATAATAATCCATTATATCCATCCACCTATGCCTTAGTTCCTTACACAGTTACACACGGAGAGTTTAGGTTTTCTTGCATAGACTAACATTGTGTTTGATTTACTGAGCTGGGCCCTGTTATGTTTTATTATGGTTTATTTTGTAATTGGGCTTATCCATGATTCGTGGACTTGCTTATATTTAAGTTTTTGCATTTGTAAATTTTATAATTCCTTTTATTTATAGAAATACTATGGATTGGGACTGGGCTGATAGGAAGAGGAAGAGTAGTACATGGACTTATAAGAACAATA